ATAGGTTCAGAAAGAACTTTTATTTTTCCTGTACAGTTTAGTAAGTGATAGAAAAAACGCCTGAAGCTGATTGATGTTGATTTGGCCATATGGCTAGATTTAGAACAGCTACAGAAAAAAAATTTATAGTGATACTAATAACCAAGCAACAAGATATTTTTGACAGCAAATGTATCTGTCAAAAGCAGAAGCCTCCTGCTGTCAATGCTTTGCACTCACTTACACATTGGAAAAAATGTAAAGGGTCCGTAATTGCATTATTCATGAATATAGTTTGCATCCATTTCAGTCTGCCAGTATTTTAAAGTAAGTCCTCAAATCAACCCTTACATGGCCTGCAAAAAATCTGCAACATAAGCAAGAAGAATCAGGAAAGGAGTTTTAGATTACATTTCTCTTTATACTTCCCAGACAAGCCTATAACTCGCACTACTTATGAACTGGAAAGAAAAAAGTAATCCCTAATTTTTTTTATTATTATTATTATTACTATTGTTTTCAGTTTTCATGTGAGTGAACTTTAAAAATAGAGCAACTGAGGTCTTACAATGAATACCCTAATACTCCAATTCATTATTATTGCCTAAACCAGAATTTAATTAGAATAATTAGTAACAGATGTTTCAGCTGGAAAAACATGAAAAAATAAAATTATTTTCTGCTTACAAGCCACTGCTTGCATTTTCTTCTCTTAGACTACTGATGGATTTTGGACAGGTCACCACCACCTGTAACACGCTTTGTAAATATTTAGATGTCTGAGATCAGACATCTAAAAATAAAATTTTGGTTTAAATATCAGTCTGGATGTAACTACTTAGAATTAAAGTGTGCTGAGACTAGATTGGTTTTAAAATGTGCAATGAGCCAAACATTTAGAACTTTGTACATATTAAGTATCCATCCACAGTTTAAAGATGTTCTCAGATTCTATTGTCTTTTTGATGCTGAAGTGAAAACAGGAGATGCAATGTGGTCCTGTTCACAGGAAAATGGTCTGAGAATCAGAAGACCCAAGCTTTAGCTTCACTGTCAGAAAATGCAGAAATGTCTTGAAAAAAAACCAAACCAACAACAACAACAACAACAAAATCCCCAACACAACAGTGTCAAGGGTCAGTGAAATAATACAAAAAGAACTGAACTGCAAATCTCTGAAGGCATTTTCTATCTACTTCATTTCATTAAAAATTAATGGGAAGACTAATGTGTCTAGAATAATTAAAGACACAAAATCAATCACCTTCAGAAGGAAGAAGACACAGGAGTAAAGAAATGAAAGACTAGCACTGCATATAAATGCTTTCTCAGTTACTGACAAGTGGGAAAGACATTCTGCCCTGCCTGGTATAACAAATAAAGCACAACAGTGACATCACTTCTTGCCTGTAACAACACTGTTTCACACTGCAGGTGCAATAAATACTAAACCCCCTAAATCTTCTCTCATGGGGAAGGAAAATACACATCCATTGTCACCCTGAAATTACACCTGCTTAGACCACATGGCTTATGGTCCTCCTTCCAGAGTGATGGGGACTGAAGGAGAAGAGGAAGTAGCACACACACTGGGATTTCCAGGTTTCTATTTGTCATGTTCTGTGAACTGTCATCACAGGCCCTTGCAACACCTTCTGCTTCTTTGAGTTATACTTATTTAATCAGGTTGCTAGTGTAGAATTCTGAATTGCTAAATCAATTGCTGATTACAAAGTGTTTCTGTGACCATGCATTAATCACTAAAAGAAGAGCACAGTCAACAGCCTATAAGACAGGAAAGCCATTTCAGCACATCTGACAAATGTCAAGCAAGTACAAATAGTATACCAACAAACAAGAACAAAAAGGAAAGAATAAGATATGAAAATCCAAGGAACTCCTTAAGCATAAACAGAAGCAACTTATAACCATCTGTAGCTGGCTCCTGCAACTCAACATTCCTTTAATAATTATTGTGATGCCAATTCATGGCACATGTACTTTAATCATATTAGGTATCAAGTATCAGGGATTAAACTTTCCATCAATCATTAAACAATCCCTCCCTAGACCTCAACACACAGAAGAACATCCAGCTGGATGAAGAGATAAGGAGTCATAGCTGTATCAAATTAACTAAATATAAATAAATCACCTATGTCTGTAAAAACCTTCATATGGTACTGACATCTCTTTATAATTCAACAATGTGAATAGAAGAGCTATGAGGAAACCTAAAATTTATAGTTTAATAAATCTGTTTGAAATCACGAGAATGACTACGCTGTGTTAATAGCACATAACACAAAGAATATCTGCAGGGAAGCAACTTTTCCCCATCTAATCAAAAGTGCTTAGGAAGTGACTCAGACGAGGTATTATTCCCCATGCTGAATATTCCACTTCATTTATGTAAGCTATTTTACTTAAGTATTTAACAAAATACTGTCAGGAGATTTAAAAATCTCACTGACAAAAATGGTCACAAGATAGAACTGCTATTTTTTCTTTTCTGATTTTGAAGACATACAGCAGCAGTAGTAGAGATATTATTAACAGCATAGTACTTAAAAGTTGTAAACGTAAATTCACCAAGTAAAATAATATTTTTCTTTTAATAAAGTGATCTTTTTCATCACAGAAATTATGTGGAAATAGAGGAGAACATTCTTTGTGCCAGTTCTGCTTTTTTCTAACAGGAGTTGAACTGATAGTTGATTTGTATTCAAAGTATATGAAATTAATTGCAAACTATAACAGGCAATCAATTATGAATTGCAAGTTCCCTCTTTCATACATATTTGTTGCTCACCTATTAGAAGAAGAGATAGGTATCACCAAATCACATCCAGTGCTATTCCAGGCACTTGGACTTATTATCCCTTCATTAGAGTCAAACTATCTTAAAAATATTTATGCTTCCCTTTACCTGCACTGAAATAACTTCATAACACCACCACACCATTCCTCCTTTTATTTTCAACTTAATAGTTGCATTTATATGTACTTACTCTTATTTACAACATCCAGACCTACTTGCACAATGTCTCTAAGTAAGGTACAAATGTTGACAATGTCTGGTGTATACAATTATCTTCCAGATTTGACAAAGACCCTTTCCTAAAAATGTGGTTTTGTTTGTTTAGTTGTTGGGGTTTTGTTGGTGTGGGGTTTTTTTTGTTTGTTTGTTTGTTGGGTGTTTTATTGTTCTTGGGATTTGGGAGGCGGGTTTTTTTTGGCTGCAAAAAGAAGCAACTAGCTTAATCCAGACTCCTGCATGAAGCAGGATCCAATTAGATAAAACTGCTGAGGACCATGTCCAGGAAAGTTTTGAATATCTCCAAGAGTACAGAAAGCTCCAAATTCTTTGGGCAGCCTGTTCCACTATTTATTCATTTATATAAATGTATTTTATGGCAGAATTGATTTAGATATTAAATAGGCTGTTAGATGGCTCTTTGTGCAATTCTTGTCACAAAGAAACTCAAAAATTTATGACAGAAAATGTCTGTGGGTTTCCTTTTAAAGATCAAAGAGTAAATAAAACAATAAAATTATATGTGAAAACTGTTAGCTGGTCGTGATTATTAAAATTAATATTTTAATATGAATAATTATATTATTTTGTTGTAGCATATGTGCTATTTAAGCACTATGTGTATTCATTGTACCAATAATAATTAACAATTAAACACCATCTAGGGAGAGAATTTACCAATGGCTGGCAAATTTACAAATTTAGATCTTGACTCTTAAATAAGAAATGAGATATCATTGTCTTAAAAGACAAAATAAATCACAAGCTACTGGCTATTTTTTTGCCATTAATAATTTTCTTTACATTTTTTGCTAAATGTAATTTCCAAGTTCTTCATTAATTTAAAGCAATGTATCTATCATAAGAGACTTAAAAGCCTTTTTAATTGAATTGAAAGATACATTTAATGATTATATTCATAAATAAAAATAAAAAAGCTGCCATCCCAAATGAGGAAAATAAAAGATGAAAGAATTGACTAAATTGATTTTAAATCTAGCATTAAAGTTGATTACCTCTCCCTGAATGCTTCATAAGTGAGAAGACATTCATAGTACAATTTTCGGTTATGCAGTATTTATCATTTACGGTGCTCTCTCCTATAAATAGACTTTAATAAAATGAAATAACAGTTCCTCATGGGAACAACCATTTAATCAATATCAAGGGAGCATATGGACACTATTGAAAAACTGGCATCACCATTACAAACATACTTTTACATTGCCCAAAGTTCTACACATCTATTCAAAGGGAACTAGTGTGCATCCAGGAGAGGAACAAGCTGGCCCAAAATGCACAGCCTGGAAGCAATCCATCTTTTTGCTAAGATTTTGCCATATGTACATTAAGAAATGTGATGTATTTTTAGTTAGCTAATGCTGTACAGCTAGAACATACTTGTAAGAAGAGGAGGGTCATTAGGATCAGTCTGCAATGCAACCTGCATTAGATCCTGCCTAGATAGAAGTAGATGTCAGTCAGTCAGCCAGTGTGATAGGAACTGCTGAAAGCATGAGAAATTTTTGTTGAGGAGGAACTCACATTTACTCCTTTTTGCCTACCCACCTAATGTTAGTTCCTGACACCTAATAACTCTTCTGAAAGATAGACAAAAATTTTTGTACAGACAGAAAGCTCCTAAAAAAAACCCAAGTAGCATTCGTGACATAGATCCTTTAAGTGCAGAAGAGAATTCTTCATCCTTAGCTCTCTGCTAGGAGTATTTACTGTCTCTATGCAGCAACAGATAGGTATGAGAAGGATATTAAAAGACCACAGTTTGAGAGTCTGCAATTTGGCTTCTGTTGGCATGTCACAACCTTCCTGTTACTTCACTACTGCATTTCAAACAGGTATGTTATATTATCACTTCATGTTAGTCACAATCACTGGAAACAGCATGGATGCTAATAATTATGGTAACACAATGATTGTAAATTTAGAGCAGCTTCAGATACAAGAGTTATGTTCATGTACTTACAGGAGATGCATGTACTTGTGTTATTCTTAACTGGTTTTCCAGATCTTGAACTTTATTTTTCAGTTCTGCATTTTCAGTTTCTAATTCTTGAATCTACAAAGCAAGTGATTATTGCAACAGCTATTGGGATATTCATTCACTTCAACAACAGTGTCAACTGAGAGCAAGTTTTATCTGAGATCTGGTGATTTACAAGCTATGTTTAACTAGTTATCTGATTACAAAAAATGAAATTTCTGTACCTTCCATATTTCAACCTTACTTTTCTCTTTAATAACCTTGCAAGATCGCAAAACAAAATTCTGTTTCACAGTTATTAGGTCTTTTTTTCAGATTTATTTTAACTATCTGTTGCAATTCTTAGCGATCTGAGAATAATGTTGGAAATTATGCTGTCATAGCAAGCAGTTAACATAAACATGGTAGCACGTTCTTTTATCTCTTTAAAAAACATAGTTCAGAACTTACTCTCTTCTGTAAACCTGCAATTTGTTTCCTTGTTTCAACATCTTTTCCTCCAGATTCCAGGAATTTCCTGTAAGCTAAGTCAAATGCTTGACCAATTGTTAAAGTTATCTCTTCGGCCTTTACATAAAACATAAGATTAAAATGAATATATTAGAGAATACCTTCTATAATTATTTTCATGTCATATGATCACAAAACACTTTACACCCCATGTACTGTGTTCAAAAGGTTTGCTTCATCCATCGTGATGCCAACACCACAAAGGACCATGGCAAACACATTTCATCAAAACACCATGACAGAAAAATCCTATGAAACCAACCTAAAAATACCTTGGATAAAGGGACCGTGAAATGGCAGAACGCAATCAGCTAATTTTTAGTATAAATTAAGCCTCTAATTTCTGCAAATATGGATAGTATGTTGCAGTATGTCTTTTTCTAATGATTTGTGAAATAAATGCAGGCTTTTCACTCATGAAGGAAATTGTTTTCATTTGAATGGATTAATGTTTTCATGTTAATGGATGTTTTGACCCCTATTGCTTTCCAATTTGGATTTCAACACTTATTTTTACAAGTCCAATAAAAATCTCAGTCAACATACTGTAGATAAACATATTCATCTGCACAAATATTTCTGATGACAAAAATCCAAACGTAACTTGCATTTCTATGTGCGAAACACACTAATTCAGCAGTTCCATGCTGAATTGAATCATATGTTATGATGTGTATGTCCAGTTGGTGCAGAAAACCTACTTGAAAAATAACATGGGTAAGTGTACAAGAAGTTGGTTGAGCACACCAAGGTTTCAGAAGAAACAGCTGGCTTACATGAGACACCAATGAAAGGTGAACATAGAGATAAGCCATTTGCTTGCAACTTCAATAGAGAAAGCAAATGCAATAGGAAATAGCTTTTAAATCTTTTTAAACAATTTGGCAGGGGAACAAAAAACAAAACAAAACAATACGACATTAACCTGGCTAAAGTTAAACTAGAAATTTCTCTTCTTTATTGAAATGAAAACCTGAAATTGGTTGCTCAATGCTAAGAACATTTATTCTTCACCATCTGTTAGAGCATGAAGGGCTGGATGCACAAAAATGGTACAGATCGTGAGGCTCCGAGCCTTTTATGCATCAGGGCAACAACAGTCATTCAGTAGAGCTGTTTGAAGACCTGAGTTCCACAGGAATGAAGAATTAACCCCTCTATGATGGGGGGAATGAGTAAAAAAGGCACAGGATAGAAATTTGAAGAGAAATGAGCAGACGTGGATAGCAATTCTGAACAGTACCTAGTGAAGGTGCTGGAGCAATGTAAGTGAATAACAAAACCAGAAACACTGTGAAGTAACATATAATGCTACATAACTGGATACAAACAGAAATGAATGTGCATCTTTTTCTAAAACCAAAATATTGTTTCCTTAATATTTCCTTCCTATAGCTGAGAAACTTTAGAATAAAGAAAAAGAGAGGCTCCAGATTATAAAAAACCCTAAACATTCATTTTTGCTGTGAATACCAGTATTTTTATTTAGTTAATTACTTTCAGGGTAAATGCATGACCTTGTTTCAGCTAGACACCATTTTCAACATTTCCTGTCCTAAAGTATTTTTTTTTGTCTGCTATTGCACATTTTTGAACAGTTGCCTTGTTCTGTCTCAGACATGAGAGAATGTCAGTGGCTGGTGCAATGAATTCTCTGCTAGTGCACCACAGTATTAATAAACTTGAGAGATGTGGCAGGGGGTGGTGGGCAGAAAGGGGAAACCTTGCTGTAAATAAATTAAAAAAAAAAAAAATCTGAGGCAGACACATCAGCAGAAGAGCCTGTGAGGGTATCTCAGCCACAGGCTTGCAGCAATCTGCACAACAGCTGTGCAAACACTTCCAACTTAGTGGGATGCAGTCTCTTCTGAGAGTACTGCAGATGCTTGCCCTAGGATATTGAGCTGGGCAGTAAGGAGAACAATTGTCCCAAAAAATCACCTTATACCAATGAAAAAAAGGATCTCCTTTAAATGGATGCATCTAATTTACAAGGCATTATATTGGTGTGAAAGATTCTATCCAAAGGGACCTCAATTAAAAGGCAAGCTTTCTGCCTTTACTACCTATTCCTGTTTTCTTTCAAAGCAGACCAAAGCCCATAAAGTCACCCAAATTCTTTTAAAGCCTCTTGCATACTTACACACTTTTCACTGTCAAATACATAGCAAAGATGCTTGTTTGATTCTGAATCTTTGCATATGAAAGTAAATATTCTCTTATCAGTTTTATCATCAGCACAAAATGATATCCTATGGAGTTGACAGTTGTGCTGGACTTCCTGCAAAAAGATAAAAGAAAGATTGTTTTCAAGAAATTACTGTACTTGCTTAGCATAAAGATGCACAAAGTTAATCTCTAGATTTTCTCATGTCCATAAGAGCAGGTAGGTTGCAGTAATATTTTTGAATGTCTCTCATTGTACGTAAGAGCCTCAAAAATTGACTTAAAACATACCAGAACTCACCAAACTCGTCTCCTAACAAATGTTCCCATTTTTACTGAATGTAAGCAGGATGTTTCTATTTGGACAGTATTTATCTGGAAGTGTTTATTTGGAAAATAATTTCTGTTCTAGAAAATTGGTTTTATTGTTGCCTTGAGTCCCTGGGCATTTTATTCAGGGACTGTGATGATAATGTAAAATCCATTATGTAAATGACTATGTAAAATACTCTGTTCTTTTTCCAAGTGCTCACCATCTTCAGATTTCACCATCTCCCAGGATTTGTTAAAACAGTTTTAGTGAAATAAGTCCTGGCCTTTCTATCTTAAATACAATAAATGTTAATAAAATTACTTTGTTATCAACATAAAGGGGCACAGAGAAATAAATTAAACATCAAATCAAGTGCTTAAAGTGGAACATAAATAGCTCTTAAACTTTATTTGCATATTTTGGACACCGTATTTCACTTCCCATTAAAAAGCATGTTTCAGATATTTAGAAAGTTGCAGTGGCAATGCTCTTCAGCTGAGAGAGCTTTAGGAGTCTGAAACAAAGTATCTCAACTATTTTTTTTTTGTTTTTCTTCAACAAGTCTCTTCTTGGTATTTTATTTTATTTGGCTTATTATATGGGAAAGCAGTATTTGCTTTAAAGGAAAATATGCAGCTTAGATGTGAACTATTATCTATTAAAAAAAAAAAAGAAGTTTCTGTGCACCACCAGGGTTCCCAGATTGCTATAAGCTCATAAACAAGGGCATGTTCTCTCTGCACAGAACCATTTATTGCAAAAATGTACTAGACAAGCAAACTTTTCTCCTTGCCCCAACTGGGCTCCTTTTCTCAGTGTTGACAGCCATTGGTCAGTGTAGCCTACATCTCCCACGTCTCCAAATCTCTCTCTCTCTTAATCTCTTCTTGTGTGGCTCTTTAATAGTTACATGTAATAAAACATGCTTGTTCTGCTTCTTTTAGGTTTCTAGATCCAGATAACTACTTCATATCATTTAAGGACAAAACCACTTCTCTACAATCCTCCTTTTTTGAGTGCCAAGTATAGAAACAAGTCTTGACACATGAGTAGGCCTCCTGTTCCTACCACAACTAACAGTCATCACATGAATGGATACTGATATTTCTCTGTGACAACATTGATTTCTTTCAAAAATACACAGAAAAATATATTGTAATCTGCAATAATAACAGGGAATTTAAATCATTTCCTAGAGCACCTATAAATTGGGCAAACAGAAGGAAAACTTGATTCAAATTTACATTTACATAGAGCTTTAAGAAATGGAAGTGGGGGAGGGAAAAAAAAAAAAGACTACTCAGAGCTGATCACCGTTTGAGTTGTAATAAAAACATTACTAGGAGACCAGAATGTTCCTATTCCCCCAGGAACTTCCATCCCACAGCTTTCTGTTAATCTCTGAAGGAAAAGTTAGGAAGATTAACAGATTTTGGCATTTAAAACTGGAACTTTATAACAGTTTCTGCCAGGATATGGGGTTTAGTATCCCTTTCTGCCCTATGATGGAAAGAAGATGCAAAGCTCGCCATTAAAATTGACAGGGATAGTTCTTGTTCCCTCTTGCTTTTGGCCTGCTGAGTTGTAGTTCCATCAAGAGTGTGAGGAGAAAATAAGTTGCAAGTAGATAGCCTTGAAGCAAAGCTACCTTTTCTCAAAAGGCAGTACTGCTGTCTGAAAGGTGATGATTACTCCGGAATTAAGAAGCAATAACAAACAATTCCTTCAGATTCAATATTCATCACTTGTACACAAGATTAAAGAGCACTCAGATGTTAAGAACTGCTGACTACTGAATAAATACTTTTGAGCTCAATTATATTTATCTTATTATTCCTTTTTGAAGTCTGGGAGGAGGATGTTTTGCTTACTATGTAACTCCTTCCAAAAGGCTGGAAGGAACAGAAACAACAAGGAATAGGAAACTCATCCACAGGATGATTCAATGGACTGTTGAAAAGGCAGGAATCATTATCTTGTGCCAGACTAAAAGCCTACAAGAGTGCTTACGACCTGCTGCATGAAGCTTACAGAGAAATTAGTAACACACATGAGAAACAAGCATTCTATGGGGGGGATACAGGAAAAAAAATAAAACCACAAGAAAAAGAGGGAAAAAATGAACAGGTTAAGGAAAAAGCAACACAATTCCAAAGCAGGAGCATGAAGAATGAGTCAATGCAAACAGTCTCCTCATTTACCTCCAAACACCTACACGTGGGCATCTACACAACAGTGGTTGGAACACTTTGGAAAAATGGTTATCATATGTGGGGTTAACATTAATTTATCACAGTGTTTTCATCTTCTACAGAGTTTAAAAGTTCTGGAGTAAATGGATTAAAAAAAAATAAATCCTGTATTAGCTATAGTCTGTATTTTGGAGTATCATGTATCTTCCTGGGAAGATGTCACACAAGTTTTGTAACAAGAAATGCTATTTTAGAAGAATTTTCCATCAACAGAACAACATTCACTATAACACTTTTAAAAATATAAAACAATAAAATAATTGAAAAAGGTTAAAACACTATTTAACTATTAGTTTAGCACCATAAACATGTAAGTCTCTTACCTTTGTTTTTGGATCTAGAATTTTTACACCATAGATTGAGATTTGTAATTCGACTTTGGGCGTCTTCTGTCCTTCAGATTTCTTGATATGTCTTGCAAACTGTAAGACAGAAAATACAACAGCAATCACATTAATAGTAAGTTTATTTTTTATTACTTCTCATTTCCTCTCAACTCCTTGCACCTGAATAGAATATTCCTGCAATTCAAGAAAAAAATATTTTAAAATTATTTAGCTAGTTCTCTTGAAACTTATCTGCTGGTTGTGCACTTAATTTACACTTTTGTGTATGATTTCTAGAACAGAAGAAACAGGAGCACCTTTGGACAGTTTGTCAGCTGCTTGGGTGTTGAGCAGTAAACATCATTATGTTCTCCACAACTTGCTACTTCTATGCTCACTTCTGTACTGAGGGTACTTTCCATATGTTCCTCTAAGGAAATCACTTCTTTTAAACATGTTCAGTGTGAAAGCACTACACCTGTCAACACCTAAAAAATACCTGATCTCTTCTATCATGTTATCAGGCTTCATTTGCTAACAGTTCACTAGATGATGGCTAGATAACACACTATATGACTAGGTCAGGCAATGAGTCCTATTCAATGCATTTTCCATCCTTTCACATCTCCTTTTCTAGCTGCTAGATCCAACTTGCCTTTCTCTCATAAACACTGCACATGAAATAAGCAGAGCATCTAAAATTTGTCACTGCATGGCAGTGAAGAAGTGTTATGAATTTGGGTAGATTTCTTAGCAAAGATACATTACTGCTCTACATTTTGCTCTATTATCAGCCGTTTTCCTCTCAAGTCTTTGACAGCCTGGAATGGTGTATTCAAATGCATAAATAAGGAAGATGACTCACTGAAAGCCAGAGGAATTGGAGTGTCTGCTTCACAGTTATATGTTTGAACACATCATCCTCAAAGCTGCTCCCACTCAAGTATAATTGAGCATGTAATTCACCATCAGTACAAATAAAATACATTAAAATTTGTGACTTTTAGGGGCAGGAAGAGTCTAGGATGTTAAGAAGGGTGTTAACCTATCTTAAGAAGGGTTAGACCTGGATAGACAGAAATCTGAATTACCTTGTGATTGTGAAGTGCTTGGCTGTACCAAACTGATACCTTCCCCACAAACACCTAAACCCTTGATTTTAATTAAATATTTAATTGATAGTAGAGGGTTTGGGTTTTTGCTCGGTCTTTATTCCTATGCCAACTAGTATATGGGAAATCTTTCCATGAACTCAACTGCTTTACACAGTATGACTGTCTCCATCTGCTTAATTTCATTTTGCTTGTAGGCAGCTACGTTCATGGCAAATCATTTAGGGTGGTTCTTAAAACTAGTTAAAGCACACAGTAATAAACCTGGTTTATCCGTTCCTCTCAGTATTATTCTTCATTTTGAAAGCAGGCTCAGTGAAAATTTTCGTAACTAGATGTTAATTTATAATTAATCCTATTAACTTCATACAGTAACATGACCTATCCAGTTTATTACTGATTAATGTATCACATGAACTGGTAAGCATCACATGCTTCACAAGTTAGTTTAAAAACCCCAAACCAAAAATATCCAAACAGATCCAAGAGTACGCCACTCTCAAGACCAGTTCTTAAATCGAAATATCCATTTTACATTTCAATACTAGGATTACTAGTCATTGGTCAACTATTTTACGCAGGTTTGTATGTGATGACTTGTTAATGAAGACCAACGAGTCAAAACTCAAGCAAATCCAAAATAACTTCTAGTTCTGCCTCCCTTCAGTATCACCTATCTAGCTCTTGCAATATAGACAACCTTTCCCTGTCCTCCTCTTTACCTGCATGCCCACTTCTCACATACTTAGAAAATACTTTTAATACAGTTTAAAGACCATCCCCTGGAAAAAACAAACAAACAAACAAACAACCCTACCCACTGATTTACAGACATTTTGGCCAACAACAGTTCATGACTTTCTGGAACAATTCAAATTTGCTACAGGGAAAAAAAATATATATTCTTTAATAAATATCCCTAATTAAAACCTCACCTAAATCTGACACAAAATTTATGCTACCAATTTAACCTGCTTGATTCCTAAGTCTCTGCTTTAAAAGAAACCAGGAAAATGATAGGACAATCAATGTTTTATTAGCACAGATTTCTTCCCAAGATTACTACAAAACTTAATTTTCTTATATTTACTCAATACCCCAACTTTTGCTTTCCCTTCTGATTTCTTATTCGATTATGCTCTTTTATTGGATAAAACTCTGAGGACATATGTGGTCCCTTTTCACAGTACAAGAGGGCTCTGTGCTTGGCTTGCTTTCCTACATATTAAATGGAATGACCAAAAAAACCACAGATCACCTTGACAGTTTGGGCATCTCCATTTCCAGTACACTTTACAGTGCACAGGAACATACCTATATAACAGATAATCCTTGGGCACACCTCAATTTGGAAAAGCCTTGAAATCAAGTGAACTCTGGCTTTTTGGAAAGGCCCCTTTATAAACAAGATGCACACAAGTATTTCTGTGCAGTAATGAGGAGAAGGCATAAATACTATTTGATTTTACTGAATTAAAGCCATAATGTATGTTGAGAATGATGACGAAATGTTTGGTTTTACAACTCTAACCATCTAATCAGAGTCCCAAGTAACAGCTACAGCATGAAAATGTTTTAAAATAAGTAGATCTGGAGAACTTGCACGATTTTAAGAACAGCTGGCCAAAGCTTGCTCCAAGTAGTCAAGAAGTCTTACAACACTGAGGAAGTTCCAGAAGATAATTCTGTGCCAATACTAAAAAAGGGATAAACAAAATAACCCTACCACGTCTCCAGTCTAGAAAGTCAGAAATCAAGTACAAGAACTAGAGAATTCAATTGAGATGAAATTAATGATGATCAGTTTGGATTTTATAAAAAATGCAGCTTCTCAAAACAGAGAAAGCATTTGACCGAGTTTTGCATGCCGTGATATTTAGGAAATGAAGCAATACAACAAAAGTACCAGTAAAGTTAGTTACATTAGTCTCCAGATGCAGTTATAAACAGGAAATTGTCATTGGGAAGATATGTTTTTAATGTATTCCAGCAGGGTTTATTTCTTAAGCATGACATTATTGAACAATGACCAGGAGGAAAATAATTACTGATAAAATCTGCAGACAGAAAAAACTTAGAGGAGAGAAGAGAGGTGAAAATGGTGACAAAAGTAACTAAGGATTTGGAAGTGAAATCTGCTCTAAAGAGCAAGCAAAGAAAGTCTTGATGTCATGGCAGGCTTTCTACTAACTATGGACCTTCTCATGAAACTAGAGTTGGGAAGATCCTTGCATATTTCAAAAACATCTTTAAGACGACAACAACTGCACTGCATCAGCTGCTTGTGAGAAAGTACTCAAAGTTTACATTCTGAGGCTTTCAAATGCACAAGGATGTTGACAAAATGGACACAGATCACAGGATATTTGCAAAAGTTAGCAGAAGGCTGGCAGTCCACTTTATAAGAAACTGCACAAATCATAAAAGAAGCCAATGGTGAAAGAAAAACACAAAAGAATCTCTTAAACACAGACGTCCAGAGAGACAAACAAGCTTCTTAAGCGGAGGTTTACTGGGATACAATGACTGAAAAGTACACAAAGATAAATGCTGAAAACGTGGTGCAGTTACTTTCTTAATGCTTTTCCTGCCCACTCAATGTTCAGTGTAATAACAGATAATATATAGATACTGATCAGTAATTTGTTTCCTAGCTGACCTTCTCCAGAATGCCAAGTTCAGCCACCTCCCAAACTTGTGCAGCAGATACTAACATTTAGTCAGGTATCAGCCTGCTTGCTTTTTTTTTTTCCCCTCCCATTTTTTTTCTACTTATTCTTTCTACCTAAAAAGGACCCTGAGGCACCTCTGGACAGGGAAGATTTACAAACCTTATTTTCTCCTTTCAGCACACAGTTGGAAGAAAATAACTAACACAGTAACAAGATTATTTAAGAGGGTAAAAATCTGTAGCCTCCCATTGGCACCAAAGTGGACAATGATATAAATTATGATGAATCACAGCATGGCTTGGGAAGAGATACAATGGGCCAAATTCTTAAGCTGTTAGTGTATACATATATAGTTTTCAGGAAAGACACACAGATTTGGCCCAATCATAAAATGAGCAGCTCAGTGGGATGGGGCAGCTTTTATTTAACTGTTTCAGAATTAACATAATTTTTTCTTGAATCTTTTAGGGAAAGCAAGAGCTATAAATAAATCTATTTTTTATGGTTTAATTTAGCTTTGAAAATAATAATTAAAAAAACCTTCCATGTAACTTGTCTTTTATATGTGGGAAAATAACATACTTTGAAATCTTATTAAAATTACATTTGAAATGCTTATGCATCAAGTCTTAGCAAACCATAATCAGAGAATTAATCAGAAAAATAATATTAAGAAAAAAAATCACTTTATAACAAAAGCCAGGAGTTTTAGTTAAAGAAAGAATGGCTAAAATAAATTCTATTAAAACCAATATAAGCTATGCAAAAAAAACCTATGTGCTTTTATTTAATATTTACACTCATTGCACAGTCTGCAGTTTATTTTAAAAATTCCAAACTTCCAAGGTTAGACATTTTGGTGATTTGGGTGCTAATCTTCAGCCCAGGGAATAGACAATTGACTCCTTTTCACAGAGGTCTTCAGTGAGAAAAGATGTCTGTTTGAGGGCAATGTAGTTGTCTAAGCTGAGACACAGCTTTATACCTGGCTTTGAGAAGATGTTTTCTCTCTTTTTTTCATAACAACACTGATTGTAAGGAGAGATGCTTAAAAAAAGAAAAATTAGGCCCCATTTCTTTTGCAGTGACTACATGACTACTTATCCTTTTGGCCATATTATGGTTCAAAAGCTCATTTTCTGTAGCTATAATGAAATTATGGCCTCCAATAAGTAGCTGTCAGGAAGAGGAAAAGGACAAAAAAGTCACAGATATGTGAGCTTGAATCTCTCAACAATGAGCTTCATAAGGAAAAAGCTGTTTCAGCTATGGAATATGTTGCATTTTGCTTTCCAAATACATACTGGACTGAGAGCAAGGTTATTGACCTATTAACCATAGTCTAGAAGACAAAAAAAAAAGTCTTTTTTTCCATCTCTCATTCCCTGAAAGGTTTTTGGTTTTGAGGTGACATGTTGTTGGCTTTTGTTTGTTTTTTGTTCAGGGGATTTGTTATTTTGTTTGGTGGTGTGGGTTTTTGGAGGGTTGTAATTTTTTTGGTCATGATTTTTCTTTTTTACTTCTTCTTGTTCTTGGGTTTGTTTGTTGAGGTGTTTGTTTTGTGGTTTGGCTCGTTTTGTTTCTTTTTTTTTAGAGAGAGAGTGTAAGTAGGTATTCTCTTCAACTCTTCTCATGTGATCTGATCTGGTCTCCAGGCTGTCCCTGTCTGGTCCCAAACCACCCATTCTCCTTTCTCCAGTACTTCAAAGAGAACACTCATGGCTGTAAGGCTTGACTGGAAACTTCATCCCCATATTAAAAGATTTTTTGTTCTCCACCCTCCTCTGTCCTTTCAGCAACAAATGAAACCCAGCTTTAACAGGGAGGGAGCTCAGAGCAATATCCACTGATGGTCCACTAAGGGCAGCAGCAGGAGAGCAACACAGCATGTGTGGAGGTGTGTGAGAGAGCACTCTCCACTTTGTGTGTCCTTATGGGTCAAAGAGCTGACAAACAGTATTTCAAGTGGCTTCAAAGTGATTAATTCAATTTGCATTATTTCTAGACATCTCCACTTAGAGAGAGAACAGGAGTCTGAGTTAGAAGCTGGGTAAGAGAACAGCCTTAAGTTTGGTTATTACAAAAATATCCCTTTGAAAACTGTAAAAAAAACCAGCCCCAAACTCAGGTGTTTACTTCTGGTTCCTCGCTAAGACCCCTCCATGCCATTTTCTTAATGGTGGTCTGGTTATGCTGCCCTTTCCTCTGTTATGCTGATGTTTCCATCTGTTCTCACCTCTGGCAACCCTTCAACTGCTTTTTGAGAAGAACCAAATTCATTCCTACATTCTGATTTAGAAGTTATATCCTTCATTAATCAAGGAAAGCAAGCATTCTACTTTATAAATTAAAGTATGATTTGACATGTACATATTTGAATAAAGGAGGCATGTTCTGATACAACACCTTGGTACTATTTTCCTTAGGTTTTATTTCATTCTAGAAATTAGTTTGACTAGAAAACTGGACGGAAAAAATAGTAATAAATTATGGGAACAGTTCATCTTATCTTAGAAATAAAAATCCACATTTTAAAACATTAGTGTCCAACTTTCTCCCTTCTCCTGCAGTATAGCTCCAAGAAATTTGAGAACACAAGAGGAAATCCCAAACAGATAAAACCAGCAGACAGTCCTCTATAAAAATTAAATATAGAAACTTGAAAAAAAAATGTATATCCAAGCAAAATTGTCAAGTGTTTAGAAAATGTAGTAGTAGTAGTAGTATTTGGGATCCAATAAGCACAATGAAGCATCAAGAAAAACTGCCTCCACATTATGGTATTTTGCTGTAGAACATCAGCTCCACCTTCTGGTAAAAGTAAGTTGATGGAATGGCACGCTACAGTTTTGCACAAACTTATGTTTGCCAAGTGAAGAATCTTTGTGCTGTACAAGTTAGAGCTTGTGATTCAAAGTAGTAAAGAGTTGTTGTCTTTGAACATCAAATGTCTATTCTGAAACAGTTTGATGACATGATGGTTTAAGAAAAATAGTTTACAGTGACAGCATTTCATGGCCTATATATCTTTATAAGCACATGACTTCGAAAGGATATTAGTGCAATGCATGCCAGTTATAAAAATAGCTCCAAATACTAAGAAAGTCAGTTGGTTTTCTGCTAGCTATTAATTTTAATTAAAAACTCATTCTGTTTATCAACACTGTGAGCAAAACCAAATCAATATAATAAATATAGCATCACAAGCTACACGTCTTGTAAAAGATCTCCTACTCCAAAAGCCACTATAGATGTTTTCTTTCAATGTAAGACATCAGTTTTCAAGGTGTTTTCACTGGTTTAAAATTTTTAATCAACATTTCCTAAAAACAAGCTAGGGATGTGTGGTTAATAACAAAATCTAGTACCTCCAGGCTCTTCTACAAAGAACACAGATGCACAACATAAATTGACACTGAAATGAGTATTCAATTAATTGAATAATTGTTTCAAACACAGACCCTCTTTATTAATTCTTAAATTCTGTTCCAAGATTTTTCATGTTTTTCCAAAAATTGTCTTTAGTTACCTTGTGAGTTTTCTCATAAACTTGTGAATATATAAGATCCCATGTAACACCTTGACATCTAAGCTCCAAACTTCCAAGCGTGAAGAAAGTAGGGTAATTCTGGCAGTGACAATTCAAACCTACCTCCAAGGCAGTTTATTTACAGAACACGTGTAAAAACTTAGAACAAATATTTGCATACTCCAATAACACTGTAAGTAAATTTAAAAGGAAAAAAGTTTTACATTTTAGTGCTAGGGTGAGAAATGTTTTTCTGAGAGAGGAAAACCGTTCTGTCTCCTCCTGCACTTCAGAGAACAGTTACTCAAAATTCTTTTTGGCCTGTTTTGAGAAAAAAAACCTATTTCAAGGTACCAAATCATCCAACCCAACCCACCAAAAGCCTGTCGTGATCAGTGAGAGCCCAGGTTAGCCTGGAGTTCCACCAGCGAGACAAAGGCACTGCAGTTGCTTTACTTAGGAGGAGTCTGATAAAACATCATCAAAATAGAATCAAAATTTCAAGGATATTATTTTCACAGATTTCCGAGCAGCATTAACTCTGCTCAGGGTAATGAAATTTTACAAGCACAGAGCTTCACTCCAGTATTAGCTGTTTATTGTTTCCACTGGTAGCACGATGCAATTGTTAAAAAAGGGTCATTCTGACATGAGCCTAAACCACCTGAAAACAAGTAGGTGGTAACGTCTCTGATGAACTGCAGCAGAGTAAACCTTTTTGGCATTAAACATTCTAAGAATTGACTAAGTAAATCTTTAAAGGCAGCCATGCTACTTTGGTAGAGTGGAAAATAGTAGCAAAGCACTTCTGGTTCAATACACAATTACTAATTAATCTTGTAAAGATGGCTTTTTCAAGGGAAACCTCAGTCTTAAAAGCGGAGCTACATAAGTAGTGCATCATGCCTTCTTTCTTCCTTTTTTATTATAGTAATAACACAAAATTAAAATTTTCAATATTGATTCCCATAATTTTCTGTTCTTTTCCAAGGAATTTCTGTTTAAATGAATAATGAACCCCCCCCCAAAAAAAAAAAAAAAAGCTATGGAAACTACAGCAGTAGGCAGAACAATTTTTACATCTAAATAAACTAACATTGCAATAGCTCTAAGCAGCTACGTGTGAAGCAGTGCAATTCCACAGGCACGTGTGTTAGCAGAAAAATCCAATCAGCATTCCCTACTCAGAGCATCAGAAGAGCTTTAAATGTATTAGCTGTCACTCAAACAGTCAAAGCCATGTTATCAGATAACAACCCTCAACAAGCCATTTCACTAGGATACTTCCCAGTTCCCTGGCAAGTCCCACTGTACTCATCTGATGTTCTCAGCACATAGATGGTGTTTGTGCACACAGACCTTTTCCAATGAAACCTGAAGACTCTTGAGGACAAAGCAGTAATGTCCCTTGTCATAAACAGGCTTAGTTTGTAAACCTTGTTGTCTCACTTCAGCTCTATTTCCAGATATACCAGCAATTATCACAGCTGGAGAGTGAACAAGACTCCTGCCAGTGTCACAGACCTTCACCTGTGATCCAACAGTTGAGAAGGATCAGACAGATCAGCTTCAGATGAAGAGCAGTCAGAGACAGGCAATAGCCACAGAGCTATCACAGCCCACTTATGGCCTGGTTTGATAATCCTACTCTTGTCCTCTGGCCCCGACAGCTTTCCTGAAGTGGGCTGGGACTCTCTGTTTTGCACCAAGAGGCAACTCACCTAACTGGAGCTTGGTTAGCAACTCACAGCCCAGAGAACTGCTTCTAGAATCAAAGAATTTACCTAGAAATACTTACAATGTGTCTTATCTGTGAAAACAGGTTAAGAATATATTTTGTTTCTATTTAATTAAAAATTGTTTCTTACCTTTAATTTTCTAACAGCATCTCTTACAACTTCTGTGCCTTTGGGCTGCTCCACTTCCGTACTGCCAAGAAACTGAAAAGATTTAATTTGTGAGAAATAAATTATGCATTGAAAGGCCTAATTAACTCAAGGTATTTTATTTTCCAATTATTTCAAAATAACATTTTAGAAAGACAATTGTTTCACTAGCTGACAAATAACAAATTTTAATACAGCTATTTTTAATTGAGAAAATAACAAGTATTAAATCCAAATTAGGCAAATATAAAGAGTTATATAAAGCAACTTCAAAAAAACATTTTATTTAGCCTGATCCTATACAGGTCTGTAAATTAGAGGTTAGGTACCTTTTTCTACTGGAAAATTGGCATTTAGGTAATAACATCTCTTTGGGAAAATAATGAAAAAATGCAAAAAGGAGCCCCATAACTAACAATCATGTTGAATCAACATGAGCTGGTGGTTTGCAGTATGCTAGTAAAACTTCCATACAGTGATGCAAGATGAATTAAATAGGCCTGGATTTGCTCCCAGAGATGCTTGATTTCATAAATTTAAAGGAACCAAGGTCCTATTTAGAGAAAAACTAAGGTTCATTCAAAGAATTTCTACAGATCATATTTTTATCAAGCCAGGTTTTAATGAAAACCAAGCATACACCTTCTAATATACAAAGGATGATCCCTTACCATTTCTTTATTTGCACACTGAAATGCCTTTACATTCTTCTGTACAGTTTTGTTTTCTACTGTATTGTTATGAAAGGTATGATAATCCTGCCTGAACCATGTCTGTGTAATTCATTTCAAACTGACTGATTTTCGGATTGAGGTACAGTTAATTTAAGTTACGTCACATACCTGTATATGCCAAAATGCTGCCAGCAAGAAAGAACAAACTCCCTTACCCCTCTAAAGCAGAGAATTTTCTGTAAGTTTTAGCAGTTTCAAAAGCAACTTAAATTTGCCAAGCTACAGATGCTTTCAACATAGCAACTCCGAAGTTTTTTATTTTATTAAAACTTTAGAACATGTTTTCTGTAGTCAATATGCTCAAGCTGTATTCTGGCAAAGAACCTTTGCAGCTCTACCAAAAATTAAGTCTCTTTAGAAATTTGCTACTGAGTCTGAAATATGTCACATCATCTTCAATACAACAGTGTGTAAATCACACCACCACACACATCTGCTGCCAATATCCCCTACTATTACAATTCTCTAGCTAGGAGACCCAGGTTTTGTAATAACAAAGCAGAAACCTCTACTATTGATTTGATGTTTTTCATGCAACATTTCTGATGATTTTACACAGGGGGTGTGTTCTTCCTTGTAAAAGTGACAGTTGCAGAAAATGCATATAGAGAAAGAAGTAGGATTCTTGAACTTTATAGTTACTACATGTGACAGACTGAAAGGGAAAGGTGAGTGAATATATATGAACAAATATATGTGACTGAAAAACCAAAAAGGTAACCACAGCCTTAAATGGGTGAGCAAGAAAATACGATAAGGTCAGATGAGAATCAAAAAGGAATGCTGATAACACCAGGTATCTGTACACAAGCATATTTATACACCACACACACTTGGCACACAGCAAGAGGTAGAAGGGTAATTGCTGTGAAGTTTGTGAGCAGCTCAGGATACATTATGTACAGTTCAGGAACCCTACATAGGAAATAACAGCTACGAGTGTGGACAAGGCTCAAAGAAAAGAGAGCAGAAGTCACTGCCACTCATGGTGAAGAGGATGGCTGAGCATACTTCAGCCACACATGACTCCTAATATTTCTGTGGTTTTGTAACTGGCAGCTCCAGAGTTGTTACCGCTGTAAGCAACCTGGTACTTCTTGATACAGATTCAGGGCCAGGCCTTGGGTGGGACTTGTGCCAGGTATGCTTCTAGATGCCCTGTGGTACGCTGCCTCACCTGCAGCCACTTCTCCAGAAGGGCAGAGAGCTGCCCTATGCTTCTTACTTGCTTACTGCCATCCAGAGGACTGAGAGCTGAGATAGTAAAAGATATCTCAAAAGCAATAGAGTAATTCCCCTTCCCTTCCCTCTCAGGTATCTTGCTCCAATTCAAAGTCCAAGCAAGATGAAGGTATCCTTGCTGTATGCAATAAATCCCAGCAGCAGACCAATCTCTCTGTGAACAATAAATTCTACACATACTGTTTTCCCAGGGGCTCGTACCTCATGCTAATTCACATTACTGCCTTAGAAAGTGTAAGCATCAAATTAAGTTTCTGCCACGGTTGGGGAATCTGTTAAATGTAACTGAATTTTTAAGCCTGTAATAACATTTCCAAAATCAGAAATTACTATTTCTGATCACAGAGGGGAGGGAGAAGCAGATGTCTAAATAGAAAGATGAAGTGCTAAAAGCACAGGCTGAAATGACTGACAAAGCCTGAAGAAAGCCCCACTAATTGGGTTTTCTCAACAAGATACAAAAGAATAAACAACCAAGACTCAAAGTACACAGAAACATCATGAGCATTTTATCAATATTTATGAAACTTAATTTAACCAAACCAGAACTCCACCAGTTATTTGCAACGTGCTGTCTTCCAGATGAGTACTGGCTTTGACATTAAGCATCACTACTGAAATTTTTATTGCTCTCAGCAGTTTTGAGCTAGATGTGGAATTAGACGTTATACTTAATAAGCTAGTCAGTGAAGGAAAATACAGTAAGATTAATTTAATTCAGAAATACCATGGACATTTGTAGTTTAAGTGTTAGTATCAATGAGAGATGATGAGATCATGCCATGGGTTGCATTAGTTGTATCTGATATATCTGTATCTTGTTTCTCTGTTAACTGCAGTTCTATTTTTTTATTCAGGTAAGCTCAAATTTTAGTTATAACTCCTTACACATCTCATGCCTGACTTTCATAACCTTTCTCATTTACTTCATTTATTATTTGTAAGAGAGCAATAAAAAGAACAACAGCAATTAAGAGCAAATATTCTGAGTATTTTTATTCATTAGACTGATCTAATTAGGGCAAAATATTAACAGAATTTCAAATCAAGACAGTTTATTTTCCAATTACAACAAAAGAATGACTATGCAGTGTAGGTTTAACATACAGCTAGCGGATTAACTGGAGACGTTTTATTGCTTGGTTGCTTCATCTGCTCTGTATCTTTTCTGCATGATCTGACCTATCGTCATATTTTGTTTAATATTAGACACCAATTACTATGGCACTACTCATAATAGTTAAGCTAAGCAAACACATGTATCAGATAAATCAGTATTAATCCTATATACAAATTAATGTATTAAATTCTGAAGTGCTCATTAACATCATATATATAATATAGATTAAAAATGCTTACATATGATACATTCATTTACTGTTTGCAGCTAGTAAAAGAGTTAGTCCTGAAGTTGATGTACTTGATGCATAAATAACCCAAATCTAACAAAAAGGTCAATAATATAGGCACACCATCAGACTCATTGTTTTAAGTATTTATGTATTGTTAAGTTTAGTGCTAAGGAGAAGTTCAACATAATATACCAAGTTTCAATTGTACTGCGTTTCAAACTTTAAGAAGTTTGAGGAGGATGACATTTATTATTTTTGTATAACATAAAGCAAGCCAGGGCAATGTTTTTCCCACATAGATTACTACACATTTTTTATTGCTCTGCCATTCTTCCAAATACGTTTCCTGCAAATCTGGGGAAAGGTTATTTTTTCTAATATATTACTTATTCTGATCTCACTTGCAGCTGTCTACAAGCAGAAATAACTTTTATGAGGTCAGCAAATCTTATCAGTTAAAACTTGACTGTTCCTTTAAAGTGCATGAAAGCTTTTTCTTCCCCCACTGATGTTTGCCATTAAGAAAGTGAGCTGCTGACCAGACATATACAAGACAAACACCTTGGATCAAACTGTTTATAATCTTGGCAGACAACCAGATGCTCTCGCTCCACATGCAAAGATTTGCAAGATAGTGCAGCTGTGGAGATTTCACCATATTTGAATCAACAGAAGTTTTATCACTGACAGCAACTTGGAGAATAATTCAGCTGTCTTGGTCAGGAGGGCTTGTCTTAACACAACTAACTTAGTAGACAGATCTTTTGTGGGGAGTACCTAGTCCTTCAAAATGTATTTGAAATGAAAATTTTCCTATACATTTAATTGGAGCAAGATGCATTTTGGTCCAATTCTGTAGTGAAATAATTAAAAATGCTTTTATAGCCGTACTTTGGCTGGAGAAACCATTAAAATAAAAGGCAAATCTTTTTTACTTCTATTTTGCTGGCTCAACTAAAAGCCAATTCAAACACAGGGCAACTTCAGGCATTCAGAATCCTTCACAGTTCTGACAAGTCTATTGGTGTTCTTACATGCCCGACAGCTATTAGTCAGGTCAGGTGAATTGTTAAGGTTAACAGTTCACTTTTTTCCTTACTATTAGCAAGCCACACCTCTGTAATTCCTCCCTGTCAGCTCACATTTTGACTCTCAACATTTACATTTGGATTGTTTGGGTTTTTTACATACAAAGTATATCCAGATGCTTTTTTTCAAAAAGAAAAGTATCCATCCTTTAGAAAAGTTAGTTTTACCAGAGTAAAAAAAAATCATTACACATAAAATTTTACTTAGAAATCGCTTTAGGTGAACTTTGAATATATAACGTAGACTTCCACTCTTCCAGTAGAGTGCAGTGTAGGATATTTTAATAATAAAACAACATCTGTTCTCTTTTGTCATAACATTTCAGTCTTCAAAAAAAAAAAAAAGTCTTTCACAGTGCCACATATCTTTATTACTCTGAAATCCCTGAACTTTAAAAGTTCTCTTTTATGCAGATTTAAATGCAATTGCAAGAAAAAAGTACTTACTAAGTGCAAACAATGAAGGGAAAAAAAAAATGCAAAATTACTGGGTAGCTGCTGCCAAAATCTGATAAATTAGCTCCTTCTACAGCAGAAGTTGAAGGGATGTTGATCTATTGATGAAATGAAGACAAATGTATCTACATTCTGATCACATCAGAATGACAGTATATAACATAAAATGAGAATGAAAAAGA